ATATTTTGTGCTTGGTTGTGGATTGTCTTATTTGTTTTTGAGCCTTTGATTATTTGACCTACCTGTATCTTGAAGCATTTCAGGGGTATCTAAAGAGGGTTAAAAAAGACAATAGAAACATTACATACATAACTGGTGATTGGTTTTCATTTGAAAATGTTTTAACTCACATAGAAAAGAATAATTTAAAGATCTTGTATAAAACAGTTCGTCCCTGAGACAACAACTTCATATTATTATTAGTAGTAGTATCAATAATAATTAAACTGATTCATTTATATAATGATCATGTTTTTCAACTTGAGTGATCTTTTATTGATGAAACAGTAGCAGGGTTTTACTTACTCAATAATAACAAAAGATCTGCATATTTAAGTATATAAGTATTGGCTGAAATAAAAAAGTTTGAAATACCAGTGATTTTCTTTAAATGGCTGATTGTATGGACATTGAAGTTTTAATGTACACAAACCTGCTTCTGTGAGAAGTAAAATAAAATAGAATATTGCGAAAAAAAATTAGAAGCACAAAACAGGTTACTGGTTTAAAATTAAAGCATGCAGTCAAACAGTGACTGTGCAGCAAATCTATGTGATTATTTATTGTCCGCAAAATATCATTTGAGATTTGGTGTCAATTATCATTAATGTTAATTGATACTTTAATAAATTTTAAAAACATTATCAAGAAATTATTTATTGATAATGTTTTTCAATTGAAGTGATCTATTGATGATGAAGCAGTAGGAGAGCTTTACTTACCCATAGGGACAGACCAACCAGCACTCCTTAATCTCTCTGAATCAGAGGAGATAAGACTTTTAGTCTGACATTGTAAATACATCCCTGAATACCAATCTAAACACCCTCTAGATGGACTCAAATCAAATTTAGGTCTCACCTCTAATGACCTCTAAATTCAGAACAGAACTGGTCTGATTTTATCAATGTGAGTTGTAATATGCAGTGAAGACGAGGACGACTGTTGAAACCTTCTAAATTAGCAAAGATTACAGTTGTATTTGCAGTAAGTGGATAATGTAGTTTTTAAAATTAATCTTTGGTTATATATGAAACACTTGGTCCCTGACAACTTCATATTATTATTATTAGTAGTAGTACTATCATTAATATTGAAACTGATTCATTTATATAATAATCATGTTTTTCAACTTGAGTGATCTTTTATTGATGAAACAGTAACAGGGTTTTACTTACTCAATAATAAAAAAATATCTGCATAATCAAGTATATAAGTATTGGCTGAAATAAACAAGTTTGAAATACCAGGAATTTTCTTTAAATGGTTTATTATATGGACACTGAAGTTTTAATGTACACAAACCTGCTTCGGTAAGAAGTAAAATAAAACAGAATAATGTGGAAAAAAAACTGGCTACTGGTTTAAAATTAAAGCATGCAGTCAAACAGTGACTGTGCAGAAAATCTATGTGATTATTTCTTATCTGCAAAATATTGTTTGAGATTTGGTGTCAATTATCATTAATGGTAATTGATTATTTAATACATTTGAAAAAAAAAATTATCAATAAATTATTTATTGATCATGTTTTTCAATTGCAGTGATCTATTGATGATTACACTGTGGGAGAGCTTTACTTACCCATTAAATCGTCAGAAAAACAAACCGTCGTGGCCCCTAAATCAGAGGAGATAACACTTTTAGTCTGACATTGTAAACAAATCCCTGAATACCAATCTAAACACCCTCTAGATGGACTCGAATCAAATTTAGGTCTCACCTCTAATGACCTCTAAATTCAGACCAAAACTGGTCTGATTTTATCAATGTGAGTTGTAATATGCAGTGAACACGAGGACGACTGTTGAAACCTTCTAAATTAGCAAAGATTACAGTTGTATTTGCAGTCAGTGGATAATGTAGTTTTTTAAATTAATCTTTGGTTATATATGAAACACTTGGTCCCTGACAACTTCATATTATTATTATTAGTAGTAGTGTCATTAATAGTGAAACTGATTCATTTATATAATAATCATGTTTTTCAACTTGAGTGATCTTTTATTGATGAA